ATACTCTTGGTTATACTGACCTGAAATTTAATATACATGTACATGTACTTATCTTAGCTTATACAAGACAGCATGTACAGTACTGTAATTCCTTTCACTCTAAATTTTTAAGTTTTTCTAAATTTTCACTCTAAATTTTAAGTTACAGCCATTTTCAAAAACAAACCAATTTTCAGAAAAAACTAAAGACTATACATGTACATGTACATGTAGTGTACCGTATTTGCTCTAAATATTCGACGCTCTAAATTCGAAACTAAAAAATTATTTCAAAATTTCTAGCATAATTCATTCTAAAAATTCATTTTAAATACTATTGTTCCATGTGGTTCTAATTTCGTCACGTCAATACGAGAGAAAGATACTCTGAACAGCCAGGTTAGCATATAGCTGGTTTTGTGTATTAATGAATCCCTCCAAATTTGACAAAATAATTAATTTAAAAGCTTCATAACTACTCTCCCTCTAAAAATTCATTTTTAAAAATTACAAATACAAAACTAGATGTGACGAATTTTTAGAGGAATTACGGTAACACCCTAATTACCCCATCCATCTCATATTGCACCCCCAAAAATGAAATCCTAGATCTACCCTGACAAGAAATATGTATACATTGTACATGTACATATACACATGTAGTTAGAGTGTAGACTGACCTATGAATAATAAACCCATCATATAATCATTAATGTACATGTACATGTTCATAGTAAAGTGCTGTACATGTATATGCATAAAATCATCAAAAAATTTACAAAGAAATAAAGCTGCCATACATTAAAGTGCTGTACAAAAAAGAATTATTTAAAGAGGAAGACATTACAGTTTATACAGTATAGATCTACCATCTTCATCATAATTGCTCATGGTGTCATCAATCCTGTTAGAAAACTCTAGCAGAAGCTTCCAAGTGTCTTTGGGTATTGCCAGCTCTTTTATAATGAGACTGAAAGAGGGAGAGAGAGAGAGAAAGAGAGAAATGAAATGTAACCTTTACATGTAATACTCTTAAAAATTCACACCACAAGTCCAAAAATTTGAAGCGACCAGTAAAAATAAGATTCCAGTAGGCAATGGACATCTCAAGATTTGTAGAGAAATAAAAAGCACAAAAGATTTTAATCAATTCATACAATATACATTAAATTATACATGTACATGTACTCTCAACTTTTTGTAGCATCACTTGCAAAATTCCCCCATCAACACGTGTACATTGAAATCATTGTGTGAAACATGATCCTACATTTACATCTACATGCAATATTATTATGTCACTAGCCTAGTCCTTTCTGCCCAAGTTTTTGGCAACATTAAACGTAAACTGGTAGAAGTCCTTGAACTGTTGTGAGTCCTGTATCTCTCTATCAATGGTCTCACACCTTTTACGGAGTTTATCAATGGAATCACACCTAAAAGAGGGAGAGAGGGGAGAGAGAGGGAGAGAGACAGAGACAAAGAGAAAGAATTATAGATTTATTTGTAGAGAGAATGTGAATTACATGTATGTTTTTATGCTTAAAGCAAAACTCATGAAATACAGTGATAAGAACATGTACAACATAATAGGAGAATGTTCATGTGCAATGAATGTGTCCATCAATACACACACTGCATGTACTGTACCTTCCAAACAGAGAAGAGATCCTTCAAAAACCATCAACTGCTTCATCAAAGTAAGTATCACCTAAACACTAGTAATATGTACTACCATAATGAGGATACAGTAACTGACCATTGGGATCAAACTCCATATCTCTGAACTGACTTGCATGAATAGGAAGAATTGCAATGAGGCTGGTCTAAACACAATCTACAGACATGTAAAATTGTAATTGTATATGTACATGCAAAATAATAATGTCAATGAATTATAATGTCATGCATCAAACAGGTCTACAAAAGTAACAGTGTGTAATGTACATATGTACATGTACCATAGTTACTGTAAGATCAAAGGGACCGCCAGGTGGTACATAGGCCATGTACACCTAACCGCTGCCAGTTAACGATATTCACTGCAAGATAATGAGATTCATTGGAGTGTATACATCTGTAATGAAATTCATTGGGTGAGTTTATCTGTAATGAGATGCACGAGCGATCTGCGCATGCTCAGTATCCAGCATGTGGCAGAAAAATGAGAAAATGGCAACATAGTAGTAGGCTAGACCCAGCCGTTCGCCACTGTATTGACAAAAATAAAGCTCGTGCAGAGATAAATGCTACAGAGAAGTTCCAAGAAGGCCTTTATTGTTCTTTCAAGAAGTAAAAGAGAGGGATAGAGTTTGATCTCCCAGCAAACAAGCAAAACGCGCATCCGTCCCTGTTAGATCCCATAGATCTTACAGTAAATATAGCACATATTATATGAACCATGGTTTCTCGGTGAGTATCAGTAATGTAAGACCTTCGCCCCTCGATGTCTGCCCTCGGCTTCGCCTCGGGCAGACATCTCGGGGCTCAGGTCTTACATTACTGATACACACCTCGAAACCATGGTTTATATAGTACATACACAGTAAAATAATCATAATTATTAATGAACCTTTTACCCTCAGTCACCATGCACTCCACTCTTGACAGTTTCCCCTTTAATCCACAATCCACTGACTCTCAACAGCATACCAGCA